TATTCATATTGTCCTTTTCCTTTCATCTATTTTCTACATGGCCTTTTGTACTGTGTTTTCATCAAACCATCCCAAATTGTGGATTACATGGTTTCAAACAGATGATTGCCATGCACACCTGCCTGGAGACTGATTTAGACATAATGTATATAATATTTAAGATTGCCTCAAGATTTTCTAATATTATGAAAATGAAGTATCGTACTTGAATAATTTCCATATGTCATCTATTCTCAAGAACAAATTCATTTATAAATTCTCTTTTCTGATGTCTTTTCTGATCCTTTGCTTCATTAAGATGAAATTTCAGTTGAAAGAACTACATTTCTATTATGAACATTACCATTGGTTCTATTATGTACTTTATAAACAAATAATATTTGATCTTGTGTAAAACTTGATTGCCAATTTTTGGCTAAAAGTTTTGTCTCAAGAAACTTAATTTTACACAAATATACACAGCTTTAACTCAAAGAATTGGTGGCCTGGACTTGGGTGCAAAGCTAAAATCCTGTTTTAATGAAGTTGGGAGAATCCATTCACTGTTAGGAAGCAGGTTGTATAGGCTGCACATTTTTTACTTTTATAAATATGTTTTCGTTTTAACTCATTGTTGGAAACTCGGCAGGTGAAAGGAGGTGAGAAGAGCCAATTCCATGAGTATTTTTTGTTTGCAGTCTTGCTTGTTGGACCAGGAGGAGCAGGAATGATTTTGATTTTTGACTTTATTGTCACGTGTACCAAAATATAGTGAAAAGCTTTGTTTGAGCGGTACAGGCAGATCACAGCAAGCAAAGGATGTGCAGATCAAAAGACTTAGAGGCATACAGGTTACATTGCAGGTTAGATTATTTGAGGCTAGAGTCCAATCAACAGTCTGATAACAGCCGGAAAGAAGCTGTTCCTGAACCTACTTGTGCATGTATTCAGGCTTCTGTATTTTCTGCCTGACGGAAGAGGTTGTAGGAGATAATCACCAGAGTGTGATGGGTTTTTGATGTTGGCCGCCTTTCCACGGCAGTAAATGGAGTCCATGGATGGAAGGTTGGCTTCCCTGATGGTCTGGGCTGTGCACACCACCTTCTGTAGTTTCTTATGGTCCTGGGCAGAGAAGCTGCCATACCAGGCCATTGTGACCTGGACAGTATGTTTTCAATGGTGCATCTGTAGAAGTTGGTGAAGGACTTTATGGACATACCAAATTTCCTGAGCCACCTGAGGAAGAAGAGGCATTGTTGTGCCTTCTTGGCTGTCGCATTTACATGGAAGTCCAGGACAGGTCATCGGTTGTCGTCACTCTGAGGAACTTGATGCTTACCCAGGTTGATAGGGTTGTTAAGAAGGCGTACGGTGTGTTAGGTTTTATTGGTAGAGGGATTGCGTTTCGGAGCCAGGAGGTCATGTTGCAACTGTACAAAACTGTGGTGCGGCTGCACTTGGAGTATTGCATACAGTTCTGGTCACCGCATTATAGGAAGGATGTGGAAGCATTGGAAAGGGTGCAGAGGAGATTTACCAGGATGTTGCCTGGTATGGAGGGAAGGTCTTATGAGGAAAGGCTGAGGGACTTGAGGCTGTTTTCGTTAGAGAGAAGAAGGTTAAGAGGTGACTTAATAGAGACATACAAGATGATCAGAGGATTAGATAGGGTGGACAGCGAGAGCCTTTTTCCTTGGATGGTGATGGCTAGCACGAGGGGACATAGCTTTAAATTGAGGGATGATAGATATAGGACAGATGTCAGAGGTAGGTTCTTTACTCAGAGAGTAGTAAGGGCGTAGAATGCCCTGCCTGCAACAGTAGTAGACTCGCCAACTTTCAGGGCATTTAAATGGTCATTGGATAAACATATGGATGGTAATGGAATACTGTACGTTAGATGGGCTTCAGATTGGTTTCACAGGTCAGCGCAACATCGAGGGCCGAAGGGCCTGTACTGCACTGTAATGTTCTATGTTCTATGTTCTATGTTCACTCTCTCAACTTCTGTACTGTTGATGTAGGTGGGGGCATGATCTCCTCTTTTGTCTCAGATCTGGCAAACCAAGCTGCTTTCAGATCCATGAACACCAGCTATTGCCCATGAGTGTAATCTCCCATGCCCGCTGACACAACTTGTTCTCTTCTCGGCCTGCGGCCTAATACTTTTCAGATATTTTTGTACATTAAAAGCAATGCATACACATAATTAGTTATTGTTGTACGATATGTGTAACAACTGGTTCTTCTTAGCTACGGAGTAATGCTATTAATAAATTTGGATAGCTGGAATTGGTAAAATAATGTCTTAACTTAAAATCTCTCCCAGAACAGTGAAATTGATTTACAATCTAGCTTTTTACCTGTTTCTCAATCTATTTTGGACTCCCAAGAACTGGTTAATGTTTAAATTAAGAAGTTAAGAAAAAAATGTTTTTCTGTGCTCAAACTAAGTTGTCTTTCCCCATTGAAAGTCGTAAAATCTCTTTCAGTATCTCTGTAGCCGGAATAACTTGACACATAGAGTTAGCCTTCTGTGAGTATTGTGTGCTGTTGTGATCAGTAAACTGTAGATACAAATTTGTTTCTGAGCAGTTAGAATATTAAAGGAACACTGCCTAGCTCCATCTCTGAAGCAGATTGAAGTCACAATTTGCAGGACAAGAGCAGAACTCATGTAAAAAAGGCCCTTTGTTTTTCCTGGACGGTGTGTCAAAAGTACAGCATAAGACACCTGCTGCTGTAGAGACAGTTGTCACATGAATTTGATCTGGCTAGCTTATTATTAATACAAGCAAAAAAAACTTGAGAAATTGTACTGTCACAAGTCAACAGCTTAAATTTCCAATGTCTTGACAATGACTACAATAATCCAGATTCAGTACATTTGAGTTGATTTTCTGAATTTATCCAACTGTTCTGCCTCAATTGTTCTGCCCCCAAGAAATATATGTTTAATTTCTTTGTGCATCAGTGGTCGCTTTTAACATGGCATCTGCTCAAAAATAGCATATTAGATTTCAATTAAACTGGAGCTACTCAGAGTGGCTCTTGGGAACTGAGCATTATGTTTTGAATCCTGCTGATTAAATTATTTGTATTATGTTAAGCTATTGCTGTTTACACCATGTCATCTATCCTACTTCTATTGTACATCCCGTGTGGTTCTTTTATTGCATTAATTACTGTTAAAGGCTGATTTAATACTTACAGATGTCACAGATTTATCTGGTGTATTGAAAATTAGTCTAAATTTTTTTTGTAAGATTTGGTTTCTCTGTGATTAGGCAGATGCTTAGAGATGAACTAATGTGTATTTATTTTACTGTTAGTCAGAGCATAAGGAACGTCATAAGGTTTTGAGTTTCTTTATATCCTAAGTTTGAGATTTCAGTTGATGAGGGTGGAAACCAAGCTGAAATAAAGCGCTTCTCTTCTGAAAGGGGAATAGAGGGTTGGAAGTGCATCTTCTGTCCAGAGAGTGACATTTCTGAGACCTAGTAACACAACACATGCCTTTCTGATCTTGAACCGAGTAATGATGTTTATCAATGTGAAGGATAGGAGGATTGAAAAATTGTGGTTTAACTAGATGCTATCGAACATTGGGGAAAATAATGTCTTACTATTGAATTAATAGTTTGCTTCTGTTTTTTTGCAAGCTTCTCAGTTGGGATATCTGTTGAGTTTGTATCAACAGCCTGATGTCTGCATACATGCATTCATAGAGTCATACCTAACCTTGCATATTTCATTATCCAAGAAAAAAGTTCTATAGGGTTATGAAGAAAAGCCAGGGAGTGGGCACTAGGTGGATTACTATGCAGAAAGCTAGCATGTATACAATGGGCCAAATGGCTGCCTCTTGAACTGTTACTATTCTGACTCGAGTGAGCACTAAAGTATGTGCTTTCCTGTTCCTTTTTCACATTTCGATTGCATGCGATTATTTTTCCTTCCATCAATAGCTCCATAACCCGGCTACAGAGAGAGAACAGTGGGATTACAGTACATTACTGTAAGAAATTCTGCTCTTTCCTATGGTTGTAAACTTGAATGGTGGTAAGTGGGAGACAGGATGGAATAAGTAGGAAATATAGAATAGGCTTCATTAGTAGAGATGGTGCAGTACAAACAGTTGGAATAATAGTTTTTGTTTGAGAATTTGTGTCAGAGGAATCAATTTTCCTTCAGAGGCATTCTAGTAATGTCAAATCACATCTGGTGATACGTATTCATGGAATATATTACGAAATTGATCAACTTATAAACAAACTTTTGATTATGGAAAGAAAATTCTCAATGTGATGAATGGTTAGATTGGTGGTACAAAGCAGTAGTTTGTGTAATTTCCAACATTGGAACAGCAGTTTTGTTTTTATTCATTGATGGGATGTGGGCGTCGTTGGCCAGGCAGCATATATTGCCCATCCCTAATTACCCACAGGACAGTTAAGAGTGATACACATTGCTGTGGGTTTGGAGTCACATGTAGGTACCTCTTAAAGTACATAAGTGAACCAATTGGGCTTTTTCCAACAAGTGACAATGATTTCATGGTTATCATGAGACTCTTAATTCCAGATTTTTTTAGTTGAATTCAAATTCTACCTTCTGCCATGGTGGCATTCGAATCTAGGTCCTCAGAACATTACCTGGGTTTCTGGATTGACAGTCCAGTGATTTTAAAAAAGCACACACTCGGCCATCACCTCCCCCCATTTCTACTGTCTTTCTATTTATCATTATTCAAAGTATCTAAAACTTAGACTATTTTGGCTTGAGCATAATTCTAATTATATGCCTGTTGTATAAACATGTTACAATTGTGGAATATCCAGCTATTTCCATTTGGAAGTGAGGCCTCAGCATTTAGAAGTTGCATTGTTTTTATAACCTGCATAAGTGAGTAGACATGTTGTCATGGAAGTTATTGCCAGTTAAATTATTACCAACATGTAATGTAAGTTATTTTATCTGCTCATAAATTCTTACTTTGCTTTGTTTGTATCCACTTATAGCAGATTGCCAAATTAAGGCAGCAGCTCCAACGCAGTAAGCAAAGCAGTCGGCACAACAAGGAGAAGGACCGCCAGTCTCCACTCCATGGTAATCATACAGCTATCAATCAGTCTCAGGTACGCTACTCTTCAAGTTGTAAAAGCGTAGAAGCTTCTGAATCGATGGCATTCCCCTTGCAGGTGTAATCATCAAGTGGTATCAATGTACTGTTAGATGTTTTCCATCACAGTGAAATTTTCACAGCAATATAAATGTAAAATAGAAGCAATATATGCTTAACCACAGCTAGTTGGTGATGTCTTGACTAATATTCTCTGTGTGAGCCTTCATCAATTTTGATGAATTATCCCAATTGAAATTTCTAACAGATTGTTTTCCTTCAGATACTGTGCATTTGCAGCATTTTCTGTTTTGGACTTGTGGCATTTGCAGTTTTTTATAATCTCTATACTTTTATTCCTGTATGTTAAGTTGTCACAGTTGATTGTTTTTTTTGCCATTAATACAGGAATATGTTATGCACTTTTAACATCAAGACAACTTCAGAGGCAAGAATTTTAGGCTTTTCAAGACAATTTGTGAAATTTACAGCATTGGCTCAAGTCTAAATATCCATATTCATGTTCACGTTAAGTAGATCAGCTACTTTGGCTTCCTTTATGGTTGAAAATGAGGTGCTCAGTATCAAGACATAGTAGGAACTGCAGATGCTGGAGAATCTGAGATAACAAGGTGTAGAGCTGGATGAACACAGCAGGCCAAGCAGCATCAGAGGAGCAGGAAGGCTGACGTTTCGGGCCTAGACCCTTCTTCG